AGAGGAGATCAAGGGCAGTACTACACATTGCCTCATCAAACTGTGTTCCAAAATGTTAATACACCCTGGAAGTCATTGTGGTGTATTGGTTAGTGTGTCAGGCTGGGAGAGCAGGGTTCAAAGACCCACTCAGCCATGACCACCCTTCATCCAAAGATCACAGGCTGGGAACAACATAAAAATGTGTTGATCTCAGACTGAGCAGCTTCAACTCACAATAGGTAGCTGCACTTTCACTGAGAGGTGTTTCTCCATTTAAAGGAGTCCAGTCTTCTGCAGGTGTTTACTGGATGATGGGTGGTATACAAATTAATTAAATAAATAATAGAAATGCACAGCATCTCTAAACTGATTTAGAATTGCTAGAGGACTTCAGGAGAATTATGCTTGAGTCATATATCTCCTACAATGCAAGTTATGAGCCAGGAAAATTGCAAGATTCAGTTCCATCATTAATCCTCACCTCTCCCTCACCTGCAATATGGGGATAATAGCATTGACCCACCTTATAGGAATAAAGACTGTTATAAGAATTGCTAGGATTACAGATGTGAAATGTGTCAAACACTTGAAATGAGCTAAAATAAATGCTAAGTATTATTATGCATCTGAAGAAATAGGCTGCTACTGATTAAATTTCACACTGCAGTAAATCTTGTAAGTGCTGCAGCATTTGGGGGGGCATTTCTTTCTCTTTGTAGACTAATGAGGCTCATGTTGTTGTTTTTTTAAAGGCAGTTAACAATTGATACTCAGTGTTGATCTGTTTGAGGTGGCTATGGACATGCTAGCAGGAAGCGCCACCATTTCCTCTGGAAAAGGAGACCACACTTCCACATCACTGAGCTTAATCCTTGCTTTCACAGAAGTCAGTTATCAAATAATTAAAAATCACACCCAGTATTTCAACATATATTTAAAAATATATTAAATTTGTCAGTCGCATTATCTTGCCCAGAGCAACCCAAAGCAACTTATAACCAAACAAATAGACAATAAACCTCACACAGGTACATTAAAAACAAGAGGAAAGAGAAATACATTAAAAACATTCCACCTGCTTCTAAAAAGCCACTGATACTTCATGGCCAAAGGTCTGGTTATAGAGGAAAGTTTTTACCTGGCACATAAAAATATATAATGATGGCACACAGCAAGCCTCCCTGGAGAGAGCACTCAACAAAGGAAAGGCCTATTCTTGTGTTGCCACCCTCCAAATCTCTAATGGAGGGAGCACATGAAGAAGGGCATCAGATGATGAACATAGGGTCCAGGTCAGTTGATATGGGGAGAGGTGGTCCTTGAGGTATTGCAGTCCTGTGCCGTTTAAGGATTAATCGGTTGAAACCCGCACTTTGAATTGTCAGCCAGTGCATTTGGGCCAGGATTGGTGTCATATGCTTAGATACATAGATAGATAGATAGATAGATAGATAGATAGATAGATGGGTGGGTGGATGAATGGATGGATGGATAGATATGAATAGCCTCTGCCTGTCTCATAGTTCAATCTCTAGTTTGTTTTTAGTGTTGCACAAATAAAATGAAACTAATGGAAACTATGGCAACACACTGGATATCAGTTTACTAGTACCCGTTTATCCCTATGTGAAGCCAGGCTTCCCATTTCATTTGTTCCTTGAAAAATACTACTGCATGCAAAATGTTCAGGTGGTGGAAGCATTACATGGGTATATCAGACTTTGACACCTCTGGAAAACCTGTCTACAAACCACGGCTGTGCTAGGGATGGGAGGAGAAAGCCCAGAGGCATCCAGAACTAAGAAGTATTGTAGAGCAAATTGGGCATTTCCTAAGTGCAGTTATTCTGACACTCTTCTCTCTCTCTCTCTCTCTCTCTCTCTCTCTCTCTCTCTCTCTCTTCTTTCTGAAGAGCAGCTCTCTCCCCTTGTATCATGCTGCACGTTTTTTCTATAAATTTGGAGGAGTCAGAAAAGCAGACTGTGATGTGACACTGTGGGAGGAAGTTGCTGCTTAAAATGAAAACAAGAGATCCACTCCTCCATGAGCAGATCTCACCTTGTACTACCTTTGATCACAGCCACCATGCATAATCCAGAAAGCATGTGTGTGGGGAATCCTTCATTTTGAATCAAGGCTCCCACAGTTGGAGTTCACCAACAATAAGTGATGATGATAAGTGGAGGGTGCAAATCTCCTCATTCTAAGAAGTGCTCCCATTCTGAGTCAGACCCAGGTCCATTTGCGTCTGAGGGCAAGTCAAATGGGGCTTAATATGCTGCCTTGCCACTAGCCATGCCTGCCATTTCTGCCCTTTATATTACAGGCTTCCTCAACCTCTGCTCTCCAGATGTTTTGAGACTACAATTCCCAGCATCCCTGACCACTGGTCCTGCTAGCTAGCGATCATGGGAGTTGTAGGCCAAAAACATCTGGACGGCTGAGGTTGAGGAAGCCTGCTTTATAAGCCACAGCAGCCGCAGCAAAATATTTCTGTTTGCAAAAGGGCAGGAGAAAACCAGTGGTCAGGAGAAGTCTGCTAGATGCTGCCTTAACCTTGAAATGACAAGGGGTAGGAAGGATTATTTCAAGCTCAGGACAGAAAACATAGGAAGCTGCCTTATATCAACTTAGATCTAGCTTAGTATTATCTGCACTGATTGACAGCAGCTCTCCAGGGTTTCAGGCAGGATTGAACAAGGGACTTTCTGCATGCAAAGCAGATGTTCTACCACTGAGCCGTAGCCCCTTTCTTAGGTGGGCCTGCTGTGAGTTCTTCCTACTCCTAACCCTTTGCAAAGAAGGGGATTTTGCTTGTGAAGGTGAGGGTGGGAACTGGTAGGAAATGGAGCTTGTTGTGGCTAAAACATCTTTGTGTGTGCATGTGCTTGCACATGTGCATGTATCAATATATTGCATTTACTTAAAACACTTTTCATAAATAAATTCTGTCAAATACTATAACAAGCAGCAGCAGCAGCAGCAGCAGCAGCAGCAGCAGCAAAAAGTCGTATCAAAGTTGTGTTGTTTTTTAGTATTCGAAGTGATAGCACATCACTACTTATCACTATATCCTATACAGTACAATAAAGTCACATATAAACAGAGGCATTTTCTTCTTCTTAAAAAATGTATCATTTAGTGAAGTCCAACAACTTTCTGGAAGCTCACAGGTTCCATGTTGTATTCAGAGGTGCCAAGCCTCCTTTATGGACCCTATCCATGCATTTGCCACACATGCACCTCCACCTCGGCCTGCCCTGCAGTACAAAAAAGGAGTGTCTACATTTTAAAGTTGTACACAATCAGGAGAGTCCTGATTGCATGAACCACCTACATTTGTATAACTGTGTACATAATGGGTCCCCTTTTTTCCAGGTGTCTTGCTCAATGCACAAATATTGAGATGGAGGCCAGTGCATTGCAATCAAGAGCAGTATGAACAAGGAGCTCTCTGCCCTCTTCATGAATTTAGCATACCCATAGACCAGCCCCGCATGAATAGGGTTTATTTTTGTGACATGAACCTGTCAGTTTTGCTACTTCAATTTCTGAGGGGTGGGGCTGGATAATAAGTACATTGGGTCAAGTGCATTAGTAAATTTCTTTGTAGGTTGTTACATTTGATACATTTTCTTGAAAGGCAGCAATGATAAGATTTATATGTTCTTATGCATACCCATTACATCTCAGTTGGCAAAGACACCAATATAGAATGTCATGCTGCAATGAATTGCTTTAAATCCACCAAGTAAATGTAATACATCATGCAACGTCTAGTGAAGACTGCAAATTTGGTTTTCTGGGGAAAACAATACCCATGGTCCTAATTAAATATGTGATAACTTAGATACACCTATAAATCTGGAACCAGTGAAACCCTAAGTATGTCTGATTTTATTCCATGCCTTCCTCTTGCATGGGCACAAGACATATTAATCAATAAAGCTTATAAGGAATATGTAATTCATCATAATTCCACTGAGATACTGTTTGCTGGTCCACACCACTAATTACTGAAAGCTTTAAAAAACCCTTTCATTTCTTTCCTATCCTAGACAGCTTGATTTTAAAAGAAAGAAAGCAAGCACACATTTTTAAATGCCACATCATCAATTATTGTAATGCCACAGAAGATTAATTTAGCCAGGCCAATAATTCTCATAATTGACATCTTATTTCAAGGACAGAAATGCTGAGGAATGACAGAAATATATATTTAAAAAATAGTACAAAAGAAGAAATTGGTATCAATGTTATCAATCAGGTGCTCTAGGTGCTAGATGGGACACAGAAGAGCCTGAAGGTTTCGTTATTATATTTATTTACTTCAGTGATCAAATGGTTTAGCCATTCATGATCAGGATAGCTTCATGAAGTTTCATCTCACTTTCTAGTCATGAATTAAGGATGAGAGATTTCAGTGGCCTAACCTCCAATTTAATTGTTATTGGTTTTCCAAAATTTTAAGCAAATTAACAACAAATTGAATTGAATTTAACACCAATTTAACTCCAGTGCTATTTTTCTAGAAAAAGAGGTGCCAGAACTCACCATGAACACCTCCCTCGTTCTCTCAGCCACCTGAGAGGTGCTGGAACTGGGTTCCGGTGAATTCCGACTGAAAAAAAGCCTTGGTATAGGAGCCTGCTATTATTTCAACTTTCTAAAGTCAATATCGGGGGGGGGGGGCATACAAATCCATTGGGAATTATCTAATATAATCCTTTGCCCTTTAGCCCCAGACATTAAATTTTATTAATGGCATAAGAAAATAACAGTGAATGTGTTTGTTTATATATATTTATATGCTGCATTATATAGGTACTCCAAACAGAAATCGTCACATTTACACACCAAGTATAAAACAACAACAACAAATGAATTAATAACTGAAGCACAATTAAAACTCAAATTCACAAGCAGCAGCAGCAAAAGTCAGCAGGTTTATAGACCAGGTATATTTGTTGACCAACAGTCTATTGCTGACCACTAGAGCAGTTCCACTATGATAAGTAGGCCTTATTTCGTTGCAAGTAATAAATTGCTGTCTATTGTTTATGTGAAGGAATGTAAAACTCAATTCTGCCGTCAGTTTGTTAACGTAGCTTGAGCATAATACATTGTCAACAAGCAATTTGATTTTATGACGCCTCCCTTTCTTTTGCTTTTTAAAAATGCAGGTCAGTTTGAACTACTAGTTGGTTACTGCATAAATGTTAGGCCTGTAGTTGCTATGGCGATGTGCCATTAGCAGTGAGCAGGTACTCTCAGCAATAGATATATTCTTCCATCAGGCCTGTCAAAAATGTACCAGGCCAGTACATTTGGCACCACGCTGCTATATTTTAACTCTGAATCACAGTTTTCAGGCAGTGCCTGGCAGAACTATTTTCGTCTTTTGTATGTTGTGTTTCCTTGCTCACTTGACTGACGCCTATAATCACATGAAGAGTAAGTGCACCTTGAGGAATAAAAGGCCTTTTGTTGACAACTAAATGGTAGGTGGGGGTTTGGAATGATAGACAGAAAAGTTACTGGGGTGAGGTTGTGGAAGGTTTGTGCAGGAGAGGATAATATTGGTGTGTGTTTTTGCTTAAACCTCCCCCCCCCCCAAAAAAAACCCCCCTGGGATACAGCACACAACGTCATCAAGAAGGATGCTATTTATCTAGAACAAAAACAAGTGTTACAAGACAGTAAACAATGACTCTTTGTCCTGTGTCTGGAATCTTTTAGTATACTGCAGCTTTCCATGTTAAAGACATATATATATATATATATATATAGCATTTGTGTATCAGACAAGGTATACTATTCCACATATACAAGGTATAATTTAAAATGCACTGAAACCTTCTATACAGCTTTGATGAAGTATGTGTATGCATTCTTGCCCCTCTCTTGATTGAAAAAAGTGCATTATTTATGAACCCAAGAAAACCTTGACCAATATAAATGAGCACGGCTTTGGAAAATGCCTGCCTATTTTGCTCCCCTTGTGAATATCAGTTCAATTAGTTGCTTGCACACTGATTCACAATGGGATCTTTCTGCCTAACACGATTGCTGTTACTTGAGGGGGAAAAGCAACTGATGTGATTTTGATGCCCAGTAAAGTGATAGGTGCAGCGGTCCCTATGTACATTAACTCTTAAACAAGCTGAGCCAAGCTGAATGTGGCTTACTCCCAGGTAAGTATGCATAAGATTGCAGCTGCTTCACTTATGAATATTTGTGTCCACTTATATAAAGGCAGAACACACACCTCGTAACCTCACAAGATGAACCGTTGCTGAGTTGTAGCAGTTGAAATTTCAAATGGAGGAATCAGATATTTGAATGCTTCCCTCTATCTTTAAAGTTTCCCTACATAGAAAAGGAAGCATCACAAGGAGAAGCCTATAATCCTAGGGGGTGGACAATAGGACTATTTCTTATCTGTGTCACTTTTGAATGTGTTCACCCATAGTCTATCCTAACCTGTTTCTGCATCAATTTTCGATTTCAAAAGAAATACTCATCAAAATTCACATTTAAACACACATTTCTAGAGATATTTCAGCAACACACATTTTGATGTGTTTTTGCTCTTGAAATACACATTTTAAAATATATTTTGAACAATATTTGAACGAAGCTGTTTCACACATGAAATACAGTGGTACCTTGGTTCCCAAACGACTTGGCTCCTGAACAAATCGGCTCCCGAACGCTGAAAACCCGGAAGTAAGTGTCCCAGTTTGTGAATGTTTTTTGGAAGCCAAACGTCTGTTTTGGCTTTTTCTGGGGCCGATCAGTCAACCAGAAGCCATGCCTTGGTTTGCAAACGTTTTGAAAGTCAAACGGACTTCCAGAACGGATTGAGTTTGGGAACCAAGGTACCACTGTACATCATTTGATGTTGAAGTCAACACGTGATAAATATGCACAAGTGACATCATTCCTTCATCACAATTTATTAGCAGCATCTTCTTCTCCCCTCCCACCATACCATTATGAAGAAGGAATCAGTCTTCCTGGCAGGTGACTTGCTGTGGCATAATGGGGGGCAAAAGAGCAGGTGGGCAGGTGGGCGGGCAAAAGGGCAGGTGAGTGGATGGGCAGGAGGGCTGGTGGGCATTTAATTGCCATGCTAACACACCAGCAGAGGCAATCCAGCACTCCTGCTGGTGCATTTGCACCAAGTCACCATGCCCATCCCTGGATACCACAAAGACCTACCTGCCAAGAAGCTAGTATAGTGGTTTCACACGACTTGTTGAGCACCTTCTGGTGCAACTTTTGTTTATGCAAATGCTTCTAGCTCACAGATGTTCCCAGCTCATTTCTGAGAGCTGATATTCTAGTGTAGAAATTTTCCCTTACAGATATTGACATCTGCATAAACTTATCTGCACTGCACAAATTATTTTGCTTGCATCACAACTGTAGAGCAAGAAATCTCCAGCAGCACCAAAGGACTCAAATGTGTATTTTATTGACTTTCATAATTTTTTTAGTTCCTTCATCCTCTCCTCTATATGGGAGTATAATTATAGAATTGCCCAGCAGAGCAAGTACCCCAAACTTTTAACAACAACAGCAACAATTTTTATCCCTTTACTCTTTTTACACTGTGGCACAGCATACAACAGTCTATGTCTTTACATGCCCCATATACAGCATCAGGTGCAGAGCAGGTGAGTATAGCTTTGGAGAAATGGCCTTGTGGGCCAAATTAGAACTCTGCATGGCCTAATTTGGCCAGTTAGCCAGAAGCTCCCTATGCAGACATTTTCACCGTGTAGGTGAAGCGGTTAAGTACTCTGCATTATCTGAACCATATTTAGTGCTCAAAGATAAGCTGCTAAAGAAGTACTGAAAACAGGCACAGCTTTTAAGCAGTCTATCAAGCTGGAAAAAGAAATGTTTAGGAAGGGTACCAAGGGAGCAGGACTGAAATCATACATCCATAAACTTTAAGTACCACAGTGCGGCTTTATGTAAAAAAAAAAATCTAATAAACCCTATTTTCCCCCACCCCACCTTGGTTCAGGATCAGCAGCAAGGTTCTATCTGTGTTCATTTTCTAAATCATATCCATGTCACACATACCCAAATATCCACGTAAACGTTTCCTCCCAGTACATTTCTGAGCACAGTTCAAAGTGTTGGTGCTGACCTTTAAAGCCCTAAACGGCCTCGGTCCAGTATATCTGAAGGAGCGTCTCCACCCCCATCGTTCTACCCAGACACTGAGGTCCAGCACCGAGGGCCTTCTGGCGGTTCCCTCACTGCGAGAAGCAAAATTACAGGGAACCAGGCAGAGGGCCTTCTCGGTAGTGGCGCCCTCCCTGTGGAACGCCCTCCCACCAGATGTCAAAGAGAACAACAACTACCAGACTTTTAGAAGACATCTGAAGGCAGCCCTGTTTAGGGAAGCTTTTAATGTTTAATTTACTACAGTATTTTAATATTTTTTTGGAAGCCGCCCAGAGTGGCTGGGGAAGCCCAGCCAGATGGGCAGGGTATAAATAATAAATTATTATTATTATTATTATTATTATTATTATTATTAACATACCATCAGGATCAGCACGAGGGGTTAGCAAGTAGGAAATTCTAAACATATGTTTTATTCCTAAAAAGCAACTTTTGAAAGGGGTTACTTGAAATGGGAAGTCAGGTGGGGCACGGGGGGGGGGGGGGCTATAACTCTTTCTCAAGCAACCACATACTTTGCATAACTAGCAAATGAGGTGCATAATATGTAATTAATGCCATCTAGCTTTAGAGGGACTTGAATATGGCAATCCTACCCTAACCCGCCATGGAGCTGAGCATTGTACTTCGGCAAACCCAGTCCAAATGAAGCTTGCTTTGTGTATGCATGTGTGCATGATCAATTTTTAACAATAAGGCTCATTAAAGAAGGTTTATGTGTTGCACCATTATAACCAGTTGCTGTCCGGTGTAGCTGAAACTAATGTCTATGGAAAAAACCTGAAGATATTTAATGGATTCTTATGGTGGCAGATGAAATTTGAGATTCATCAGAAGCAAAGCACATGAATCTGATTTGCAAATTCGGAGCAGAGGGGAAACATTAGTTTCTTCAGTGCTGTAAAAGCTACATACTGCTTCATCATAACTCATTGCATTGGAGATGGAGACAGAAACATTGAAAGAGTTACTTGCTTTAGATCATCATCCAGATAAATGTGTTCCATTACATGCAGGCCTTTGGATGGTGAGCATCTCCCTACAGGGTAGATAAATCTGTATTTGGGCAGTCTGTTAAAAATACATTAACTATTTTAAATGCATCATTAGGCATTCTTTTATTGCCTTTACCTATGGACCTTACAACTCAATATGCAGTAAAGAAAAATGTAGGAATTAACAATGAACATTTCTATATGTGTTATGTATGGGTATTGATTTTTAAGCCAATGAATGTAATTATATTAAAAACTATGGACATCAGCAGAAAGTAATGAATTTGTTTATGTGAGCAAAGAAGCTGTCATCCTGTTCCATCAGTTCTTTAGCAGAGGCTCACTATTAACCAAGCATCAAGAAATCATGGAGGGAAAAATGGCTGTATTATCTCATTAATGCAAAACTTTTGCATTTTTTTGTATTTACAACATAACCCCATATACAGGGCAGAGTAAATCATTCCACTGAAATTTCAACACACAACTGGTTCAATTTTACTCTCTTATCTGCATATGTATAATTCTGAGTTTACTGATGTGGTTTCGTGTGTAGCGATCACACAAGAAATTTCATGAAGCTCATCAAAACTGCTTTTGTTTCTTCTTTTCTTAGAATGCCCCAGATTATTATTAACCAAGCAGAAACCTCCCACCCAGCATGTTCCATGACAAAGGGGAAATCAGTGCTTTTCAACATGTCATTCTGTGGGTTGCAGCATTACACTTTGAATCTCTCACTAAATTATTCCTGTATTTCTAGGTTGGATTAACCACAGTAAGGTTTCAATCTGGTTGAATCAATTTAGTGCCCACATCCCAAATGTATTGAGACTTGTATTTGTAGAGTGGATTGCCTATGTCTGATAAAACATGCATAACAAAACATATTGTCTCTCCCAAAATCTGTGCTATAGCTTTCATTGTTGCATTGCAGGGACATAACATCTCAGCGACCAAACTCCTGTGCTGCTGTTTTTTAATCATCCAAATATGACACGGATCCTGAATTGCACTGCAATCCGACATCAAAGCAGTGATTCAGTTCAATGGGGAGCAATAGATGCTGCACAGAACACCATGACAGGCTTGCAAGACACGCCCCCCTCTGAGAGCCAATGAGCATTGTGATGGAAGCATAAGACATTTTGCTGCCTGAGGCAAAGGACAAAATGACACCCCACTCCTTCTGTGTACAGAAGATGTCCAGATTGGTAGGTGAATCTAACTTCAACACTGGCAATGGTGAATGGATAGCATTCTCCATTGCACCCAAGGGCAGCAAGCTAGGTTAGGGGAAACATGGCACGCTGTGTGGCAGGAACAACTCCACCCTTCAGCATTTGCTGCCACTCTCTGCATGTCAACATCTGCCTGAGGTCGCCACTACACTCTGTGAAGACCTCCTTCTACATAGAACAGACCTACCAAGTTTAGTTGTGGCCTGGGCAGGCCAGTCTTCCTGTTATATACCTGCTGGGATTGACAGGGCATATGACCTTCACCTGGATCTCATAGCTCTCCTGACAGGTGATTTGGTTCAGCCACAGTGTGGAAATAAAGGAGGATACACACACTCTATTATTCAAATTAGGCCCCAGTGTTTTTCTTACAATCCCCTTCTCAATGAATTAATCACATTTAAACTAGCATGTAAATTCTCAAAACTTTCTTATTTGTTAATTCGAGCCGCTACTGCTCTCACTTCATTACAAGCGTATTTCTACCTGCAACACACTTGAGCAAACCTGCTCCTCTTCCTTTCACAGATATTTTGTTTCCATTTGCAACTGTAGCTGCCTCTGATTAGTTATCATTTAACTCTTTGAGGGAAATTAACATCAGACGTCATGTGCATGGAAGTTGCCAAATCAATTAACCAACTAGAAGGGTTACTGTTAATAGCACCAGTTTTCCTATAACTTGATATTGCTGGATAGTTCTGATGAACTACAAAAGTGTTTTTAGATTCAGGTAGGTAGCCGTGTTGATCTGACGCAGTCGAAATATATAAAAATAAAAATAAAAAATTGTCCAGTAGCTCCTTAGAGACCAACTAAGTTTGTTCTTGGTAGAAGTTTTCGTGTGCATGCACACTTCTTCAGATGCAAAAGCATTTTTAGTTTGCTTTCTGTTGCCACTCTGGAATTTTTCTTCCTTAGTGCCACTTTGTTTTGTACGATTCCTTGCAAATGAAGGAAAACAACTTTTCTGCTTGTATATGTTGATAATATAGAGGCCCACAGTCTAGATGGATTTTATTTATATCTATAAGATTTTGCAGACTTTGGCTGTGAACTGGGGTTGCTGGGCCTGAGTTGCCCTGCCCTTGCATGAAGTCTTGGGTTTGCAATTTTGGGAGAGGGGAGTTAAGCTGCTGGATTTCAGATTGACTTGCAGAGAAATATCTTGACAGTAGTTACAATCTGAAAATAGAACAAACTATTGGCAGAGGGCCCACCATTGCTGGAGGTTTTCAAGAAGATACTTGATAGCCATCTGTTGAGGATATGCACAATCTGGATTTCCTGTACTGAGCAGTGACGTTGGATCTCATGTCCTACAAAGCCCCCCAGAATGGTCAAGATCCATGCCATACAGACTTCCGGGTTGGCGCCTCCGGCAATGGCGGAGCTCCTCCGTTCGGGAGGAACTTGCTCCGTGAAAACAGGGTCTGACCGAAAACAGGGTCTGACCGCCATGGCGAAGGTGGGGACCCATTGAAATCACAAGTGGGAGAAGCTTGTGAACCTGGGATTCGGCTGGCACCTTTTGCGCCTCCCCTACTCACGGGGAAACCCTGTTTTGGGGATCCGGAGCGACGTGGGGTGAGTGGCGCGGTGCTTTGAATCGACTGCTTCTTTCACGGAGTGAAGCCGCATTGCTGTTGCCGGAGAGCGCTGACTTTTTCCTGTGGACAATTGGATTTTAAACAACTACCCGTGAGTAGAATGGAAAATTGGACTTTTAAATACCTTAATTTGGCACTGAAGCAGGAGGTCATAAACAGGAAGTCCGCCTTCCGTTTTTGTAAATAAACTGAAGCAAAGACGTTACAAGTTAAAGCCTTTGAAAGCTTTTGGCAAAGGATTAAATTTCCATCGGTTTAAAATACAAAACCCCCCTTGGAAGCAGGAGAAGAGGGGGAAATTTTGGACCTAGTGAGCCTGCAGGAGAGAGTGAAAAATCAAATTACCACTGCTCTGAACCTGGGAACGGGCTGCCAGATGACGTTTGGAGAGAGTGCATTGACAGAACGGATTTGACAACTAGCTAAATAAGAGTGAGATATTGTTTCCATTGTCCTCCTCTGCGTTTAAAAAAGAGGAAAAGTAACTGAAAATTGAAACTATCTTTAATGCTTGACTTGTGCCTGAAAGAACTGATACAAGTGGAGACTGTTTCCCTCTAGAGGGAGCTTTTGAAACTGTTACAGGAGTGTAACTGGGGGATTTCCAGCTACAGATAAGGATTCTGAGAACCAGAGATTGACCTTGGACCATTTAAAAATGTTGACAGGAGAGGCCATTGTGACTGTTTTATGTAAGATAAGCTGTTCGCTGGGACAGCTTCACAAGAAGATGGATGACATGACTTTTAAAGTTGATAATTTGGAACAGAAAGTGAATAATTTGAGTCAAAAAGTGAACACCAACACAGAAATAATTCAGGACTTGGTACAGGAATCCATTTTGGCAGGACAAATGGTGGAGGAGAAGGAGAAAGCTGCTGTTGTTGAACATAAAGTAATACAAGCGGGATCCGTGGCTTTACAGAAGCAAATTGAGGACTATAAGTTGAGGCCTTTTATGATTGAATCTAGGAAAAGTCAGACCCGGCTTGGATTAAAGAAGGAAAGTTGGAAAGATCCCTCTATGCAGGGATTAACTGACTTTTGGGACATGGACTCGGGCCTGGAGGAGATTGAAGTTTTGGGGGCCTTTGGATTTGGAGGAATCTTGAAATATGCCCTGAAATACTTTATGGACTGTAGCTTCAACTATGGAAATTTGGCTGATCTGTTCAGAAGGAAGAAAAGGATTGACAGGTTGGAGTTTCCCCGAGATTTGCTCTTTAGCATTAAAGAAAATGAAGAAGACCTGCAGAAGGGACTTGGAAAAGAGTTAAGAGCCTCGGACATAAGATCACCAGGTTGATGCTTTATGGAGTTGACGGAAAGGACTGGCAGAATCCGAAACCAGGGAGAGGAGATGGTGGAAGAAGATTGGAAAATTTAAAGTTTATATATATTATGGTAAAACTAATGAGTGATAGAAAATGGTGGAATGATTTTTTATGGGCTTAGCAGAAATGTTATAAGGAGTTAAGCATATATAAGTATTTTAGTTTTAATGGAAAATAAGGTTAAAAAATACGTTATTTACAATACGATAGAAAATGGAGAAAGATGGAAAGGATTTGCTGAAAAAATTAATAGAAGTGGAATACAAAAAGGGAGGTGAGAGGAGGTCGAGGAAATAAGGGAATGAAAGATAGAGTATGGAAAAGGGATGATGTATGTTTTTAAATTGTTTTTTATGTTTTTAAATTGTTGTTCTTTTGTTTTGTTTAGTTTAGTGTGTTAAGGCTGTGTTTTGCATTGTTTATTGTATTGTTTTTTCTTTTCTCTCTCTCTTTTTTTTCTTCTCTGCTTTATTTTGTCTTTTTCTCTCGCCTATTTTCTTCTTTTTTCTTTTCTTGTAAGTTTTAAAAGCAATAAAGATTTTTTTTTAAAAAAAACCAAGATCCATGCCATACATTTAAAAACTCGTATACCACTTCAACACTCATAGTTATCCCTCCAAGAGTCCTGGGAATTGTAGTTGTTAAGGATGCTGAGAATTGCTAGGAGACCCCCTCACAGAGCTACAGTTTCCAGCCCCCTTAACAGACTCAAGTTCCCTGGGTTCTTTTTTTTCCGGGGGGTAGGAGGAGCTATGTGGTGTATGGTGTGGGTGTGACTTAAAAGAAGGGTAAACAAGGAAAGAAATTGTGTGACTTCACTTAGATATGCTTAGGGTTGGTACAAATGTAAAAATGGCGGTGCTTTTGTATCAAGCATGGGTTTTAAACAATGCTCCTCTTCCCACTGCAAGCCTTAATGCAACTCCTGCCTTCCAACTTAGTATCTGAAACTTAAATCATGCCCATGGGTCTCCCCTTGGGCTGTGTTTTCTCTGAATTACACAAATGAAAGTGTAAGCACCCGTCTCTCTTAGTGGCCATTGTTTCTTTCTTCTTCACAGTCAGATAATCACTGAGGAGTGCACATAAATATTTTAAAATCATGTGCAGCACAGAAGGTAAAGCTTAGCAAACAGGAGGTCTGGAGAAACATTTCTAAAGAAAATAACCTTTGCACCAACAGCATAATTTTAAGAAAGGATATTTCGCTGAGCCTCATCTAGGGGTGAGCCAGACAAAGTTGGACAAATTTCCTCACTCCCATACGCCTTATAATGAGTCAGTCGGACGATTGGCCCATCTAGCTCAGTATTTTCAGATGGCAGCAAACTCTCTGGGGTTTCAGACAACCGTCCTTCCCTGTCATACCTGGAGATGCTAAGGACAGAACCAGCGATCTTCTGCATGCAAAGTAGATGCTCTACCTCTGAGTCAGTCCTTCGCTTAAAGGTGTGGGCGGAGGGGACTTTTGCAGTGGGTTATACAAGATTCTAATGACTTTCAGGGCTTTCTCTTAATAATGGTACAGTGGTACCTCGGGTTACATACGCTTCAGATTACATACGCTTCAGGTTACAGACTCCGCTAACCCACAAATAGTACCTCGGGTTAAGAACTTTGCTTCAGGATGAGAACAGAAATCGTGCGGCAGCAGCAGCTGGAGGCCCCATTAGCTAAAGTGGTACCTCAGGTTAAGAACAGTTTCAGGTTAAGAACGGACCTCCGGAATGAATTAAGTTCTTAACCTGAGGTACCACTGTATCTCATTCAGCTAAGCTGCAAGGTAAGCTCCATGGCTAATTCATTCTTATCAAAGCTCCACTGGTTTGCAGAGACAGAGTGTGTTGAGGTGCCTGCAAAGCTCTCCAGCATAGCTACCTCCCTTGCTTTCCCCTGTCTTCTATGCTAGAGTCTTTTGAGATTCCTCCTAAGGCTGTGAACCACTCAGTGGTGGACCTAAGCAACTACAGAAAAGGCTGTAGGCTCCAGCATAGGCACAACAGTTGACATATCCCACAAATCCCTGGCGTTCGTCTCCAAAGGGTCTTTATGTAAGGACACTTATTATGCAGCTCCAATGCTTCTTAAAGAGAACAAGGCTGTAGATTTGCCTAAGCACTGGAACTCAGAATGGGTTGTTTCTACTGGTTGTTGTTGCTTTGCAAGTCAGAAATAATGCAGTCACAGCAGCACAATAAGAGTACAAGGACCCATTTCTATTCTTGACTCGCTAAGTTCTGTCTGTGAAATTTTTAGGGGCCTCTTTGTCAAGTGCATTTTCCAATTGCTGTAAAACAACACAAAACCCTCCCGATAATAGCCCAAATGTATTCCAGCGTGTGCAGTATTGTTCTACCATTTGCACTTCCCGTATGGATGAAAAGCGCCTGCCCTTTGGCCTTTTGCCTCTCCATATACCTCAGGTATGTGAAGGCAGGAGAGCCGCAAAGGCCCTGGGGTGCCTTTCCACTGTAGAACATGATTAGGTGGAAATAAAATAACGTCTGCCGGTCTGTTGTTTGATCATTCCTTTGACAGAATGAGGAAATGTTTTTAACGCTATGGGTAAAAATGCTACCTTCATGGTGAAACCTTCAGAATAATGTGATTCTTCCTGAGTCAATTTCTTGCCTTGCAGAAACTCTTTGACAAAAAACCTCAATAAAATTTCAAGGACTTCAGAGTAAGAAAAATACATATTAAACAATGGAACAGTATATAAGAGGGGCAATGTGACTTGATGGTGTCAACACACCAGCAAGAATCAATGACAACGGAACAAGATTCAGTGTTTGGCAGCTTCAAAAGCACCACATTGCGAAGCGCTGAAATTACTGTCAGTATTCAAGAATAGCCTGCAGGCTGCTCCATAACTCTGGAAAAAGTCACTGTGACTGGTCTAAAGTACTATGAAATATTTCACTGAACTCTACTCTGAGGGCAGATTTAAACCCATTGATTAAGACATTGCTCTTCTGAAATTCACTTGCTATGACAATTTACAAGTGCTCTGTGTCAAGATGAAAAAAATTTAATGCTTATAAGGGGGTGGAAATAGCAAAATAATTTCAAACTTCAGTGGCAACAATTACATTTGAGAGTGAGAACTTTCGGAGGGGAAGGAAACAAAAGCAGCAGCAAAACTTTAAGCCCCAATAAACGTGACCTTTGTTATAGAAGCTCACACATAGCCAGGAAGGAGGAAATAAATATTCTCATTCAATCAGTGAATCTAAATAATGAATACCAGTTTCGGGCAAAGACTTAATTCTTATAATATAATCCAATGACACTTTCATAAGGGACAAAAATCTCCTTCCACTGCTATAAGGGATCAGCCCAATGCCTTCTGCTCAGTGTTCCAGACCCAACAAGAAAGCGGCTGCATCAAAGATACCACCTAGAGGTGGACACACCAGTCTATTCCAAGTGTGTGTCACTTTCACCTAAACTTGTTCCATCCCAGTTCTGGATTAAATACATCCTTTAAATTATTATTATTTTATTATCGACCCTTTACTCTAAGGTTCCAGGCTAGGTTACAGCATTAAAAACAACTTAATATATGTGTATTTAAATATATATTTTAAAAAGTATTTTCTCTCAAATGGGAGATGGAGGCATTACAAAATCCAGAAAAGTGCCAAATCGGGGGAAATGACTGAAGGATAGCTATGTTCTGACCCTTACATTAGTTTAAGAAGTGTGAACCAGGCCATCTTGTTCCTAAGTCCACAAATAACAAATTACTCAAGCATCTCTAGTGCCAGACAAACTTATCTACACCCTGCCTCATGAAACTCAAGGAATGGGGTTCCTAGGTGATCTCCCATCCAAGCACTCACCAGACCAATGTCTGCTTAGCTTCCCAAAGATGATGGGCTCTGATCATGTCCTTGAGCCCTGGGCATATAGCTACACATGACTTAACAAAGTGAACCAAAATATATCCTTCCTGATCAGAAAGATTAGTCCAAACTGAGAAAGGGTTACTTGGACACACAACTGTATGGCTGATATCATGGATGAAGAAACATTTCACAGGGTTCATTTAGATTACTCAACACCTTGACCATGGCCCATGCAGTATGGCTGGTCCTGTGTGGCTTTGTTTTTGCTGAATAAAAGACCATTTTATTCTGGCAGGCTTTTGTTGTAGACGGCAGATAATTGTGTTGTTGTTTTTAAAGCTTTGTTTTAAGTAGTCATTCTGTATCCTTGGTTGATAGTTTTATGCTGCTGTTTTAATGAGTGGCCCCGACTGGTGCTTTTGCACCCAAAGGGTAGGATATAAATGTTTAACAAAGTAAATAAATCAATAAAATTGTATCTCCCCCCCCTGCTAATTCCTTTTCGAACATTATACAAGCCACATGAACTGAGGCAATGCAACTCACTTAAAGTTTCTCCCCCCCCCCCACATTCAAGTAGCATTCAAAATTACCCCAGGAATGTGTGCATCCCCAGCTAGTGAATTTTTCAGTGGCTGTCTCACAGCTATAGACATTGTGTGATAGGTTGCCTCTGGGTGATCAGAATTAAGGTGTGTGTGTGTGTGTGTGTGTGTGTGTGTGTGTTTAAAAAGGGGGAAGGGAGAGGCATAAAATGTATTTGTCATTGATTTTCTGTTTCTATAGGTGTGAATATAGTGTGTTTGACCAGTGTACTATGAGACAGGCAACCTAAAACATAAATAAAAGCAAAGAATTTACAACCATATTGTGTTTAGTGACATGGCAGCAGACTCATTGCTGGGGTGTCTAAAAGTCCTGTTTTCATGCCGCCTGTATCCCCACAAACAGAGGAAAGTTCCAAGACAGTCTTTTTCAAGTTGAGTTTTCTGTTAGATAAAAAAAAACACAAAAAAACACTAGGGTCTTACCACTAGGAAAACCGCCCTAGCCCCAAAATGCGACAATTAACAGCAGCACCTCCCTGCCAACCAGTTCTACAACCCCAGGACTGCTTCATCTTCCCAAACTGAAATTGCTCAAACTGTCTCTTGCAGTTCTCCTTTGCAGACAGTGGCAAGACACATTTCATGAATTCATCAGGAGTTAATTTTACACTGCCAAGAGCTATGTCACACAAAAGCTTAGCAGGCAAACCTGTGGGATGCAAATAAAATACCATAACATATCTAAAGGTATGAATCCAGAAATATACAATTTGAGCAGGATGGCCACTGTGCATAGTGATGGATGAACGCTTTCCTTTGCTCAATCCGGAACTGGATTGGTAATTGCAAGCTTTCTCGGTGACCATTCTGGGTGTGTGAGGGGTGTGTGTGTGTGCATCTGTTTTGGAATCTTTCCTTCCAACTTGTAATGTTGGGTGTGTCGGTATAGGGGTGATTATCAAGCACATGGGCTATCATAGTGGGGCCTTCCCAAACCAAACATGGCAGAGATCTACCTGGAATATCAGCTGTTCCACAACCCAAGCAAACCTGAGGCTTCACCTCAGAACAACACTTAAAACAATGCATGCAGGTGCACATACAGAGCAGATAACTTGGCTAAGTCACTACATGGGAACCAATTATGTCCACGGTCAACTGTGCAGAGGTGTCCAAGACCTCAGAGAAACTTGTATCTCCCATGATACATTTGGAGTCCTCCCAGCATCCAGTCAGTCCAGGAATGGTGTGGAGAACCGGATTTACTGACAGATTAATTCTTCTTTTACCTTAAGCAGATGTTGGGGGTAACAAATGGATTACCTCACAACATTTCAAAATATAATGGTGAGGCAGCCCCACCCACTTCCAATCACTTGTGTGGAAACCTAGCTTCTGGAAAGCAACCGAAAAACCCAGTTTATGGCAAAACCCTACTTGACTGCTCTATTCCTTGCTTTCGGTCTTCTACTTTCTATGTGCCAGATTATACATTGGTACATAAAATGGAGATTCATAATTCTGAGATGTACAAGACAGCTGAGCAAACTCGGACAAAATGCAGCTGGTCCTTGCTAGACATTTTTACCTGACTCTGATGATAAATGTCAGCTGCTGCTATCCAAGATTCCCCCCCCCCTTTTTTTGATGAGACAGATCATTTATCTTCTGCAATTTTTACCACTTGTCTCCTTCACATTCAGCAGGATACTTCTTTTTCACAGACAGAAAATGGGCTAGCTATTTTGATCCCCGTTACTTTCATTTAAACTCAGTGATAGCCTTTGAAACTAACAACTACATTTGCTGGTATATTAACTACCAAGAGAGTGTTATGGACTTTTATTAATGGGGCAGAAAACTCTGTTCACATCAAAATCTCCTTGATCCTACAATGCCCTCATACTACATTAAAAATCCTGAGGGAAAGACAACCTTTAGTAGTCTAATTTTACCTCTAGACTGGGAACTTGAAGTGTTGAAGGTGTGGTTGTTGGGAATGTAAATTAGAGGTGTAGAAAGTGAGCTTATGGCAAGATTTAGGTACAAATTGCATTCCAGGGGCAGATCTACACTCACGGTTTATAACATTAACGAAGGGTTAAGGAATGATTTTCATAACGTAGATGGACACATTACGTTTTGCTTGTAACGTTAATTATGTGTTATTAAAATGTGACACCAGAGGGTGCTGCAGAGCAACCAGGAACCAGCAGTAGGGAAACTGCGTTGTTATGGACAAAACAAGGTAAGGAATGTTTTTAATTTACCAATATGCCCTGTGATGTTTTAGAACAATATATCTACAATGACGTTGAAAAAGGTCAGTGTAGATCCAGCCCAGTTTGGTCCCTCCCTCCCCCTCCCCCCCACCCACCCTGCCAAACACCAATTTTGTTACTTTTATCATGTTGGAGGGATAGAAAGAGCTATATTTATTTGGCAAAATGTGTGTGTGTGTGTGTGTGTGTGTGTGTATAATGTATATCCGTATATACATTTTTAATACACACACACACACACACACACACACACACACGATTTCCATAAAATGGTATGAAATATTCATTAAATTATAGGAATAAAACAAACTTGAAAAACAATTGACATGTCAGTAGATGATGGCTAGTTGTTCACCTAGATTAAATACTGTAATGCATGATTACCTGTTTCCATATATGAACAGAGGGATGGCTGAGGATGTACAAGTGGAGCCTGAAAGCTGTTGGCAGTGGTACGTTTGTACCATAGCACTCCTGTGTGTCAGAAAGTTATGGGTCACTATTGGACTTTGCATGGGATAGGTTTGTCTTCAGAGAAAGTGAGTGAAGGTCTTTCTGTCGCTAAGAAGTAAGTCTCATTGAAAGTAGTACAGTGGTACCTTAGGTTAAGTACTTAATTCGTTCCAGAGGTCCGTTCTTAACCTGAAACTGTTTTTAACCTGAAGCACCACTTTAGCTAATGGGGCTTCCCGCTGCTGCCGCGCTGCCACGATTTCTGTTCTCATCCTGAAGCAAAGTTCTTAACCCAAGGTATTATTTCTGAGTTAGCGGAGTCTGTAACCTGAAGCGTATGTAACGCGAGGTACCACTGTATATTGGTAGTTATATCAATGCGCAGTTCTCTCCTGGCTGCTGCCGGGATTGCCACAAGAGAGGTTTACAGTGGGACCATCCTTATGTTATGTTACTACATTCTGGGCTACATGGTTTGATCACCTATCTAGCTACACGCATCAAGTTGTTCTCAGGAGTCCTTGACTTGCTTTACTCTCCATATATTGGAGTGGCCAGGATGACGAGCGGTCATGAGAGGCTGGGAGATTTCACAGGACTTCTCTACTAATAGCTGGTATTGTTGCATATGGCAAATCACACACTCTGAAAAGCTTGCCCATTTGGTAATGTTTGGTTAGCCAAGTGGCAAGCTAAGCCCAATCCATCTGCAGCTGTTTCGTTTCCATTCTTATCATTTTTTAATTCTTCTATTAATGTACAAATCTTCTGGTGTATGAAGCCTGCTTTGGGCAAGAAATTAATAGGTGTAACCACTTCCCTGTTTTACCATGAGCCTTATTGAAAAGTGTGGACTGTATTTACAGTTATTTTAAGGTTCTTTTATTTACCTTTTTTTTTTACACTTTCTGTACATGTGAAATGTGACTGATGATACAGTTTTTGTGGTTTACATTACAGTGATACCTCGGGTTACATACACTTCAGGTTACATACGCTTCAGGTTACAGACTCCGCTAACCCAGAAATAGTACCTTGGGTTAAGAACTTTGCTTCAGGATGAGAACAGAAATCGTGCTCCAGCGGCGCGGCAGCAGCAGGAGGCCCCATTAGCTAAAGTGGTGCTTCAGGTTAAGAACAATTTCAGGTTAAGAACGGACCTCGGGAACGAATTAAGTACTTAACCCGAGGTACCACTGTACTTTGTTCATTACCATAAATTTCTTGAAAATCTCAATAAAATATTTGGGGGTGGGGGTGGGGGAATTACACCCTGGAAGAAAAGTAAGATAAATATTCCAAACTGAAGCAGGAGTAGGATCATCCTAAAATCCCCACCACCACCACTATGAATCTAACAAACAGAATTGTGTTATATTGCTCCTTGCTCAAAAAAGAGGAAGATACACATTTCATAGAATGCATCATTGTTTTAATTAAGGAGGCTTAAAACCTGTGCAAGCTCAGTACAGTAGCTGTACAATAAATCCCATGACAACTGTCACCAAGACTCACCCGCAGCTGTCCAGGGAGTATAACCAAGGCCTCCCTTGCACACGGCACAGTTTATACCTATAAAAACGCAGAGTGCAGCTTTCACACAGCAATATAGCAAGGATACACAGCGGTGCACACATGGCTAGCAGAGGAAGGGAAGCCACCAGCAGAAAAATAATTTTGTATGTCTGTGTGGATCTGGAAAGTGAATAAATTATTCACCATGTTCTCTCTGTCTCCCTTTTATTCCTAAAAATATGAATAAGTTTATTTACTTGTTTCTCTATTAGAACAAATGCATGGCATGGCATTTTTTTAAAAAAATAATATGTTTGGGTAATAAAAAGGGGGGGGCCAACAAAATAGAAAATCAGTAGCACTTACATCCAAAACAAAGTCAGGTTGCCAATAGAACTGACCACAGATTGTGCCTATGTCTTGGGGCGTAGGACTAACCCAAGCACTATTCCTCAAAACGTAGGTGTAATCTGTAGTCAACAGCACTGACCCAAGTAATTTAGGTCAGATGACGTGGAGGGGATGACTTTAATGTAAAACATGTTACCAACATTAACAAAGGAGTGGGGGGTGGGACAGCACTCATCTGACCTTTCAATGGCTGAGTCACTCCATCTTACCAAAATGTGGAAAGGTGAGGTGGCAGAGAGCCTGGCACAGCTCATACCCCTTGAATCTCCTCTCCCTTCAACTTCCCAGTAAGCAGCAGTGATGCAGCTGTCATGTCAGGTAAGCACTGACACTGCACTTCACTGTCTACAGCCGGTTACCAAGTTGTTTGGGGAGGGGCTGACTAAGAATTGATTCAGAATGTTAGGGGAGGGGTAGTACCTCTGGCAGGAGACATGTCATGCTCCCTCTGGGGTAGTTTGTCCACCTTTGGTCCGCAGCCAGCTCTCAGCTCTCACCTGCGGCTCCTAGAAGCTGTCAGCATGCAACTGGCCAACTGGATTCAACTGGCCAGCTAAACCAGGTGAGGGTAGCCGATGGGTCTCAAGCCCTCAGTGAGTTAGGGGCTTCCCCCACATGCAAAGACAGGATCCGGCAGGTTGAGCAGACAGGACTAATAGTGAGCCCAATGGCCAAGGAGGTGGCTCCATTCTAGATACAGGGGAAAATCTAGTTTAGGGGTGGGGAATCTGTGGCCTTCCAGTTCCTCCTGAACATCTTCGCCCATCTTCCCTAACTACTGACCCTGCCAGCTAGAGCTGAGACATGAAATCCAGGAACATTTAGAAGGCCACAAGTTCCCCACCCCGATCTAGATGATGATTTCCTCTCAGTGGAAACTAAGCAGCTCTCTCTCTCTCTCTCTCTCTCTCTCTCTCTCTCACACACACACACACACACACTTCCCAGTTGTGCCAGGAACAATGAATACAAAAGGAAGCACATTTGACATTTTAGTCAGATCTATTTCTAAAGGGACAAGCTACTCTTTCAAAAATAGCTTTATTAATTCAGTTTTACAACAGAAAATGGCTCAGAAGCATTAACCTTAATTTTAGTCTCTTGCAATGGCTGGTCTTTCTCAGTTCCCTGCATAATAAAATAAGTATAAAATTGGTTTCTGTTGAGAATGACTTTTACATCTCTTGCTAACAGCAAACAGCGATCAAGAAGGTATGCTTAGTACTTAATGCTCTTTTTTCCCTTTATAACATCTGCTAATCCTCTTGATCATACAGCTGCCTGCTGCCTTCTTAAGGACAATACAAAGTTGGGAAGCTTGGAATAAGTATGAATATTTTTACGCTGTGCCTTTAGGGAACACCACGTAGGTATCTACAGTAAAAAGGTACAGTGGGTTGAATCCAGAGTTGTGCTTAATGGAATTCCACATGTGCTGGAGGAATGAAACAGGAAGGTGGTCTTTGCCAATAACTCTCCCTGTAGCACTCTGTGGCTCCTGAAAAGCTGACCCAGGAGGTTGGGGACCTCCCACAGCAGCATGAGGGCAGCTTTGGGGGCTGCCAGAAAAATGAGGCATCTATGATTACTGCTTCCCCTCTCCCCCAATGGGAAGCCTCAGCTTCTGTTGGATCTTGGAGCCTTTTATTAATGGAAGTGCCCTTCCATCCATGATATGACCAATCTGGATCCAACTCACTGTTGTTGCTTCAAAGTAAATGTCTCTAGTGCATCAGCAGTCCTAGTGCATCAGCAGTCCTCTACTGTCTACATCATATCACCTACATACATGAACTTTATAAAAATAACATAAAACAGAATAAATTTCCTGCTCTCACGTGAGTGTGGATGGAAGAAAGAAGTCAACAAAGGATAGAAAGGAGATTCAAGCTTAAAAATGAATAAACGTCAGCAAATGCAGTTCTTGTGCTTTGTTTGGGGTTAAATTAAGGGGTAAGAACTAAGAGAGAAGATTAAGGGGAAAGCAGTTTCAGAGCAAGATTTACAGTGGCCATGTATCCTCTATTTGCAAGGTCCACTCTAACGGTGGGGCCAACCTACCACGGTAGGGCTGTATAATACAGCACAGATGAGGTTTTGAGCATTTGTGGTCTAGCAAGTATTGGAGGGGATGTGTTTGGTTGGCATAGTATATTCAGTAATGAGGGAGGATGAGGAACAGAAGGTCTTCAGTCCATCGTACATCCTTGTAAGCTTGCTTTCTATCAGTAGCTTTCTTTTCTTTTTAAAACGCTTGTGTACAAACCCAGTGTCAATCAATTTCCTGCTCTGTGTCACTTCATGGTGAAACAGAGATACTGGGTCACAAACCTTCTTCTTCTTTTCCCTCCAGTAGAACAACAAGAGATACAACAAAGCCGCTATGATCAGAGACACAGCACACAGCAAGTCCTGATATCTTGCTGCTTTGAAGAAAAACTGACCTCTTCCCACATACCAGTGGGATGGTGAGACAGCATGACTTTTATGAATATTCCAGTTCAGCTTCTTGCCTACCATGCAAGTTACATACTGAGAAGCAGTGAGAGGTAGGTCTATCATCACTAGACGTAACTGAGAGAGCAGACCTCCATGGTGGCATATCTGAATGCTGTCCTTGTGTTCAGATTTTCACTTTAAAAACAAGTTTTCACAGTGAACTTGACAAACTTCGAATAAGGGCCACTCTCTTTTTCTACCTATTGTGATTTATGTATCTTTAGGGCACCTGAGAAAATCCTTCTAAGTATTTATTTATATAACTAACAAAATGTATGCGCCTCTTGACTGTAAGAAAACCTCTGAGCAACTCAGCACCCCTGCCCTATAAAACATTGAAAATGCTGATTAAAAACAGTTAAAATCAAGTATTTAAAAATATCTAGAAGATGA